CATGCAGTCATGGGTGAACAGAGAGTACAGGAGGGGACTGAGCACGCACCCCTGAGGGGCCCCCGTGTTGAGGATCAGTGTGGCAGATGTGTTGTTACCTACCCTTACCACCTGGGGGCGGCCCGTCAGGAAGTCCAGGATCCAGTTGCAGAGGGAGGTGTTTATTCCCAGGATCCTTAGCTTAGTGATGAGCTTTGAGGGCACTATGGTGTTGAATGCTGAGCTGTAGTCAATGAATAGCATTCTCACGTAGGTGTTCCTCTTGTCCAGGTGGGAAAGGGCAGTGTGGAGTGCGATAGAGATTGCATCATCTGTGGATCTGTTGGGGCGGTATGCAAATTGGAGTGGGTCTAGGGTTTCTGGGATTATGCTGTTGATGTGAGCCATGACCAGTCTTTCAAAGCACTTCATGGCTACAGACGTCAGTGCCACGGGTCGGTAGTCATTTAGGCAGGTTATCTTAGCGTTCTTGGGCACGGGGACTATGGTGGTCTGCTTGAAACATGTTGGTATTACAGACTCAGTCAGGGACATGTTGAAAATGTCAGTGAAGACACTTGCCAGTTGGTCAGCACATGCTCGGAGTACACGTCCTGGTAATCCGTCTGGCCCTGCGGCCTTGTGAATGTTGACCTGCTTAAAAGTCTTACTCACATCGGCTACGGAGAGCGTGATCACATAGTCGTCCGGAACAGCTGGTGCTCTCATGCATGCTTCAGTGTTGCTTGCCTCGAAGCGAGCATAGAAGTGGTTTAGCTCGTCTGGTAGGCTTGTGTCACTGGGCAGCTCGCGGCTGTGCTTCCCTTTGTAGTCTGTAATAGTTTTCAAGCCCTGCCACATCCGACGAGCGTCAGAGCCAGTGTAGTATGATTCAATCTTAGACCTGTATTGACTCTTTGCCTGTTTGATGGTTCGTCGGAGGTCATAGCGGGATTTCTTATAAGCGTCCGGGTTAGAGTCCCGTTCCTTGAAAGCGGCAGCTCTACCCTTTAGCTCAGTGCGGATGTTTCCTGTAATCCATGGCTTCTGGTTGGGGTATGTACGTACGGTCACTGTGGGGACGACATCATCGATGCACTTATTGATGAAGCCAGTGACTGATGTGGTGTACTCCTCAATGCTGTCTGAAGAATCCCGGAACATGTTCCAGTCTGTGCTAGCAAAACAGTCCTGTAGCTTAGCATCTGCGTCATCTGACCACTTTTTTATTAGCCGAATCACTGGTGCTTCCTGCTTCAGTTTTTGCTTATAAGCAGGAATCAGGAGGATAGAGTTATGGTCAGATTTGCCAAATGGAGGGCGAGGGAGAGCTTTGTATGCGTCTCTGTGTGTGGAGTAAAGGTGGTCTAGAGTTTTTTCCCCTCTGGTTGCACATTTAACATGCTGGTAGAAATGAGGTAGAACGGATTTAAGTTTCCCTGCATTAAAGTCCCCTGCTACTAGGAGCGCTGCATCTGGATGAGCGTTTTCCTGTTGATTAATGGCCTTGTACAACTCATTCAGTGCAATCTTAATGCCAGCATTGGTTTGTGGTGGTAAATAGACAGCTATGAAAAGTATAGATGAAAACTCTCTTGGTAAATAGTGTGGTCTACAGCTTATCATAAGATACTCTACCTCAGGCGAGCAAAACCTTGAGACTTCCTTAGTATTTGATTTTGTGCACCAGCTGTTGTTTACAAAAATACAGAGACCGCCACCCCTCGTCTTACCCGAGTCTGCCGTTCTGTCCTGCCGATGTAGCGTATAGCCTGCTAGCTGAATGTTGTCATTGTTGTCATTCAGCCACGACTCCGTGAAACATAAGATATTACAGTTTTTAATGTCCCGTTGGTAGGATAACCGTAATCTTAAATCGTCCATTTTATTCTCCAAAGCTTGAACGTTGGCTAATAGGATTGATGGGAGAGGCAGTTTACTCGTTCGCCGTCGGATCCTTACAAGGCACCCCGACCTACGTCCACGAAATCTCCGTCTCTTCCTCACGCGAATGACGGGGATCTGGGCCTTGTCGGGTGTCTGTAGGATATCCTTCGCGAACGCCTCGTTGAAGAAAAAGTGTTCGTCCAACGCGAGGTGAGTAATCGCTGTCCTGATATCCAGAAGCTCTCTTTGGTTATAAGAGACGATGGCATAAACATTATGTACAAAATAAATTACAAATAACGCGGAAAAACACACATAATAGTACAATTGGTTAGAGGGCTGTAAAACGGCAGCCATCTTCTTCCGGCGCTGTTCAACCGGATGTTTTTGCGGTTGAGGGGTTGCAGGCGCCCCCATACTAGGCCCAGGAAAGAGGTTAGAACAATGGGCTGTGTGTGAACATTCACGTCTGAGGTGTGTGTGTGTGTTATATTCAGACCTTCAGTTCCCCTTGATGAGTTTGCCCCCCCCCCAACTTCCTTCACGCCTCCACACTGCTGTCCCGACGAGGCACCGATAGGGGTGTGTTGTCACAAGGTGTGTGTGTGTGTGTGAACGGATACCTGTTGGTTTGGTCTAGGAGTGTGAAACAGGTCTACGTCTGCATGCGGCTCAGTGGATCTGAAAACAAACAGATGTCAGTTCTCCATGGAGCTGCTAGAGCCTTTGTCTCAATAACAGGCTACACAGCTTCAGTTTGGATAGAACATTCTCTAACTAAGGAACTTCATTTTTTAGGAAGTTGGCTGGTTTCCTTCTGTTCCACTGGGAATTCATGTTGGCGGCCATTTTATTTCCAACAGGGACCAATGGAGAAAGATGGCAACTAATTTATGGATGGAAGAGGTGCAAGAAGAATCTCAGAGTAATGGCATCTTAATGTTCTCCTCTTTTGTATGCTGGGTACACATTGTAATAGAATACTGATTCATCCAAATCCCCTTCTATAGTTATCGAAAGGGCACCATGTAGCATTTGTGACTGATCCGCCATTATCCCCGGCTGGCATGCCTTAAAAACAAATTATATCCAAACGTCGCCGAGACATTTGGAAATGTAGGTTCCTAATAAGGAAATCGGTCGATATCCAGACAAAGTGGCTCATTCCCTGATATCAAATGTGGGTGTTGCAGATGGTGCTAAAGGACTAATGATTTCAGGCAGCGAGAGGGAGGGAGAGGGAGAGGGAGAGGGAGAGAGAGAGAGGTAAAATAGAAGAGACCTGTCCCCCCCAGACTTCAGGGACAGAGGAGAGAGCCAGGCAGGATGAAGAGGAGAGAACGGGGCAACTTTTTCTTCCTAAACCTCTTTGACTTTGGGCAACCATGTCTTCTCCTGATGGGTGGCTTAATGACCACGGAGGCGGTGGCAGAATCCCTTTATCTCTCCCAGCAGAGGGGCTCTGGATCTAGCAGCCCTGCCGTGGCCTTTCCCGTCTGAGAGCCAGCCAGCAGAGGGAGGGGAGGAGGACAGGGTCTGGAGCCCAGCCAGCCTTCTCTGATCCTGGGGTTAGCGCTTAGCTCAATGGGGCCGTGGGCACAGCCTCCATCGGCTGCCTGGGGTTTTCGGGGATTTCCCAAAGGTTACTGGCCAAAAGACAATGACATGGTCTCTATGAAGAATGCAGCGTCGCGCCACTTACTCGCTGACTGACAGCTAGGGCGGTGAAGAACAGAGCCAAAGACGGATAAAGGATGAATGTACCCCAAACAAAACACACAGGGGTTACTGTAGTGAAGCTGACGTCTTTCCCAGGTTTGGGTGGGCATTGATGGGATGAAGGGTTTTGTTTATCTATAGAGTGTATTTGAGCAGGGACAATGTACAACAAAAACAGCCTCAGTAAACTTGAGGAAATGATGCGTTGTACCAGGTTTAGCTAGCAGCTAATTTCCGTCTGCAGTTTTGGATGAAAGCTACCATTAGCTGTTAGTGAGAGTGTTGTTTGGAACAGAGGGGATGGTGCAAATTCATTATTTCTTTATTATTTTGACGTCTCATCTCAGGAGCATATCTTCGATTTCTCAACTCGCACTTCAATCCATTCTTGTTATCCCTTTAATCTTTCTCATGAAGAAGTGATATCAATCCATTTTTTAAAGTGCAATCAAGTTTTTCCATATTTTAATTGTATATGACAGATTTAACATTTTCTTTCTGTATCAGCAAGACATTTGTGATACCCAAAATATTGTTTTGCCACCTACAAAGTCTGGGACACAGAGGATTTGTTTTCCTACATTTGTGTCATGTGTAGATTGTAAAATGTTTATTTTTAACAGTGCCATTGCCTAAAGCTGAACTAAACCGTGTATGTTTTGACAGACATTCCAAAGCTGTTGAGAGATGCGTGGTGAGAAGTTATTTCTCCTGGTCTTTTAATTTATTTACCTTTTGTTTTCTTGTCACCACTTTCTCATCCTACTACACTGAAAGGTTTCACTGACTAAAGCATATGTGCAAAAGCAAAAATTTTCAGATGACAACTTGTCAACAGTTTTAGCTTTGCCGAGCAGGAATGATTGTATTTTCTCTGATTGTGCTCATCCATGTTTAAGAGTGTAAATGTGTGGTTCCCGAATCCAGTACAACAGTCAACAAGGTCTTTACCCCTTAGCTAAATCATAGCTAATACTTACGTTGTTATTTATTGGTTGGCGTTGAGCTGTTTCGCGTGCCTCAGAAGCTCAAGTGCAGTTAAGGTCTGTGGGTTTGTGGCTTCCCATAGTGGGCTTCCCATTGCTACAGCATGTATCTACAGCATGTACTGAATCACCACAACACCCATTATGGTGTCCCTCAGACTAGGGGTTTCTGGGAATTTATGTCTGTGATTCTGGTTAAAACATCTCACTTTCCCAGAGGAATGTTGTGAAAATTTAGTTCTGCATGACTATTGATTGTTGTGCTAAGGTCTGAGGGTTTGTGACTGTCCATAGTCAGATTTCCACATCTACAATATGTACTGGACTGAATCACCACTACCAATTATGGTGTCCCTCATAGTGTAGTGCTTTAAGAATGTCTGTGATTCTGGTTAAAACATCACACTTTCCCAGAGGAGTGCTGTGAAAATGTACTTCCTCACCGCTATAGATTGCCGTCAACACACCCTCGAGATTGACCAAGTTAGTGGTTCTTTTTTTCTTCTAGGTTCATAGATTCTCCTAATGACGACCATATGGTTGTAAGTGAGCGTCTTCGCTCCCGTAGATAGCGCTTTACTGTGCCAACACAACTTATTTATTTAACCTTTATTTCGACGTGCAGTCATGCTGAGACCAAGGTCTCTTTCTCAGATGAGTCCTGGATACACATCAAAAACACATCAACAATACACATCAATATACACATCAATATTCACTAAGCAAGCCATTTCAAATCTCAAATTGCTGAGGAGTAGAGAGGGAAGAGTTCTGTGGGAATGCCAAGGTAATAATCAGTAGCTGCCAACTAGATATTGTGGCGTCCATTAAAAGAAACATGGGGCGTCTGCCAGGGACTTGTCATATAACGGGGTTGTTGAAGGTGTCTTTTAAAAACAGTGCAACTCTCTTTATCAAGTCCTAATCTGTCTCTCCTCAGCGACGGTTATTATTTCTAGTGGCTCATTTCGGAGGCAGCAAGCCCAAGCAGCTTCTGCTGACATCGCCATCCAAGCTAAACAAACAAGGAAAACATGCTTGGCTGGCTGCTTCGAAATGTAGGGGGGGGGGGAATCTCGCATTACAATGAATGGAGATAATTGGTGTGTAATTTAAGTTCGTATTACGTATTTAGGCCTACACTTTGTTGACTTTATACTGGTGTGGGTACAGGGTGTTATGGAAAATGTTTTGTCATAGCGTGTAGGCTAAAGAAATCAAGCATGCAGTGACTATTCTGTCAGCGATAGTTGTGCTCAAGCTTGTTTTCCACACAATTCAGAGAATCATTGTGACTGTTACGTAAAAGCTTTTGCTCCTTGGGTAGCATAGGTCATTCACAAGCTTCCTCCAGCAGGCTTTGTATTAGGGTTGCACGATATTGGAAATAACTGACATTGCGATATTTTGTTTTCCTGCGATATATATTGCGATATGAAAAAATACAGGGTGTATGTATGATCCTCTGGGGGAAAATGCAGTTTGCAAACAGCGACTTTTCAGGTGGAAGTCCTCATTAATAAAGTGTACGGTCAGGCTTATGTAGGGCTCCGTTGTCCGGCTGGACCACAAGTCCGTTGTTGCTGTATAATATTACACTTGTGACAGCTCTGTTTCAACTTGTGCCTTGCACATCCCAACTCTGGGATGGCAACTTGAGAAAAATAGTTGCGTGATGGCATTACATACCGCTTGTCAAGCGACCGGATCATATTTTTAAAACCGTCTTTGGTAACCGTGTTAATTGGTACCATGTCTTTGGCGGCGTGAAATGTTATTGAATCTGTGATTTCTCTCTGCCGTTTGGAACCGTTCGCAATTTGTAAGTCGCTCTGGATAAGAGCGTCTGCTAAATGACGTAAATGTAATGTAAATGTTCTCGTATGGTGTAATACTGGCAAAGGCATCCGAAATAGATTTTTGCTTTGGAGGGCATTGAGATTTTTTTTTTTACTTGTCATACGAAGATTTGTGGTGCCGCCTTAAATGATCGAACAAATTGGTCGTGTTGCCTCGTGTTGTGGCATCAATTGCAAGGCACTCTCGACAAAGTACCTGTTTTTGGTCAACATCATCCTGTCTGTAGCCGAAATATTTCCATATAATTGACGATGCATTTGTTTTTGCAACCAAATTCTCAATTTCGGTATTTTTTGCCTGTTCCTCGCTCATCATTTCGTCACGCGCAAGCCGAGCCCGCATGTCAACCACGTGCAGCAACCAACTCCGTGTTTAAAATAACAATAATAAACTGTGTATCCAATAACCCATACATCTGAGTAAATTACGTTATATCAGACAGATATAATGCTAGTTTAACATTTAAAAAATATATATATTGTAGACTGATATGTTTACCTTACTAAATCGCACGTTCTGCGATGTGACTATTGCGGATGCATACATCGCAATGTCGATGCTGAAACGATATATTGTGCAGCCCTACTTTGTATTGTGAGGTTTTTTCTCCGCTTCTTTCAAGGAGGCTCTTGCTTGCTTCAGCTCTCGAATGTTAATAGATGTAATTTATTCTGTAACCTTCAAGATTTGAGCATGGGCATGCAACACAGTGTTTGGTAGACAAGCACACCTGTTGCACAAAGACATTGGTCCAGTTACTAGTTGTGAATGGCTTGGCTATTTCACTTTTGACTCCACAGTTCTTAAATGGATTATCTCCACCCTTCTCAGGGTTTTCTCTCAGCAATTAACATGACAAATTCGCAATGGTCTCTCACAAACACTCTGAAAATCCACCCTGATATTTCTGCTGGACTGAGGCCAAAATTGGCCAATGCCTTCTAGGAGCAAGTCTGAGGTGCGTTTTAATGGTTGGATGACATGCATGCCGTTCCTGTTCGTCTTTTATAAGCAGTCTGTTATTTCCATCACTGTGTTTACGAATGTGGCTTTTTTACAAGGCGATGGAAACTCCATCTTAATGGCTATGCACATGTGTTGCTAACAGGCAGGAAATCAATGCGATTCTTCAGCCTCTATATTGGACGAAGCGGTCCTCACTTTACCCCTGTGTAGGCTTGGGCGAAATCCAGATTTTCATATCGTAATACAATCCTTCTCTCATCCTGGGATTTACGTATTACCAGCATAACACACAAGGGGGAGCTAAAAACGCAAGAAAAGTCCATTAGGCCTCTCTTACCAGAATGCTAACAAAATTTGCACAAACTAAAAGTGAAATCACATAGATGCTGTTAGCTAAATGCTAACGAGCGAAAACAAGCAAAAACAAACAAACGAATTGCAAAGACAGGCAAATCCAGCTCATAAAGTTATACAAGCATAGCTAGTAGCTACCAAATGTTGTTTTCGGTGAGTGTGGACATTTACAAGCGAAAGTGAACGAGATAAATTGTGCAAATGAACAAAGTTGTGATGCATGCCTTTTCTGAAGGAAGAGCAGCATGTGTACATGGAGAAGAATGGAGGAGAAAAAAAACCGCTAGTAGGAAGCACAGAGAAGAAATGGCAGCTGTACAGAACTCCTCCAGAGCTCTTTGACTTCTGGCAGAAAGCCGTTATAAGATATCTGATGGCAAACATTTAGTAGTGAATTGCATACACGTATAACTTCATCACCTCATATGCGGCGCACAGCAGAGACTCCCTGATAGATATGGACTCACCATCTCCTGCTTTCTCCTGTTGTGCTATGTACAAACAAACATGTGACTGGCTCCACTGTTCTGTGGAACTACGGTAAGCTTCATAATGTAAAATAATGTGACGGGTGAAATGAAGAACACAATCTGCTTTATCTCGTAACGTATTGCACAAGTTGACTACAGGTAATAACTTGAAAAGTAGCTACAAATATTCAAATGTATTGAAAAACTTTAAATAACTAGTTTTTTATTTGAAAAAAAACATCCTGTGGCTTTTTCCAAATACCCCGGTATATACGGTATACCGCTCAAACCTACCCCTGTGAGCTTTTCAGTTTTTTTGCCTCAGTTCATGTTGGTGTAGTACTCTCTTTTGCTTGTTAGCATTGACTTAAGTGGTTGTGTGGTGTGAAAAATATGTTCTAGGGTATAAATGAGCGTGAACGTTTTTTAAACGCCTCTCTCTATAAAGCCTGAAATATCACTTAGCCTAGTTGATAGAACAACTTTACACATTAAAGTGTAATTTTACTCATGGATATAATGTGTGCTTCCTGTCGAACACTGACTTGATAATGAGGCCTAGTGCTTGAAAATTTATATATTCAAGGAATATAGCCTACATTGACGTGATCAGTGCTTATGAATAGGCTACCTAGAAGGAATAATATAGCCTATATGCATTGCTGGCCTACTTGGATGATTTATGTATGCATACTTATCATGTCAGCTCAGTCTGTGTTCAACACTGTTTTGTCTTTGAACCAGCATCTTCCTCTCTCTGACGGTAGTCGTGGGAGCACTCATCCAGATCCCTGTCATCTAAACACAGAGCCCCGTACTGAGGCTGCCCACTGTTTACATTCTGATCAATCTGATAGGGCCCCATCAGAGTTCCGCTGCATCTGATAGGCCCGTCACAGCGCTGCGGCATCAGAAAAGGAAGAAATAAAGGCTCTGTGCCAGAAAAAAGCCAGCAGGGATCCTGCTCTCCTGTCAGTGTGTCAGCCCAGAGGCAGGCCCCATAGATCCCCAGGCTCGCCTGACTAGCTAACCCCAGCAGGGTGGCCCTACCCCGGACCCGACTGGGAAAGGTGACCCCCCCCCGGCATCCATCCAAGGCTAAGAATCCCCTAGGCCTCACCCTGGCTGTCCTCTCTGGCTGCCTGCCAAGTTGTCATTATCACCACAAAGAACAGATAACTGGCAAAATTCTCATTCTCAAACACAACACAGACACCACCAGCAACTCTGTTACTGCTCAGCTAGTCAGCTCACATAGCAGAACTCAGTGTAAGGTTAAACAACAAGGGAAGTCATTCAGAAAGAAAACAGCCATCAGTTCCCGTCAGAATTACCAAACGGGTATACTAGCTAACCCACTATGTGAGCAGAATGACATCTAGGGGGTCAAGTCAAGTCAATGGGGAGGAAGACAGAGGAATTACTTTGCATTTCATACAGCAACAACAATACAAATAAAAAAAGAGTGGTGGATCTCTGTGGGTGGCCACTGTCTCTGTGGGTGGCCACACACACACACACACACACACACATCCGTCTCCGCTGCCTCCAAGCGTACGTGACTGACTGTGACCGCGCTCCTCTCCGTTGGATGACCTCCATCTTGCTCCACTAGAGGAGAAGGGGTTTATGGGTAGTATGTTGCGGTGGCTTCTGGTTGGCTGCCCTTGTCCTCTTTGTCTCCTCCACAGTTGTTTTGGCTGCACGACATGCTCTGCTCAACAGATGGCTCTACGCTATAGGCTAGCTCCTGTGCTACGACTTTGACTTATGCTAGTTTTATCATCTGTCTCCTGTCTGTCACTCTGTTTTATAACGGTAGCAGTTGTTTTTTTGTTTTTTTTCTCCCAAGGGCGTACCTACCGTAAATGCCTGTTCGGTGAGTCTAAATGAGAACGTCTGTTCCGACCGTAAGATTGTGTTTCGCCGTCACTGCAGTGTCCTTCTTAAGTCTGTTTTTCTTTCGCTGTCTTTGTTTCTGTCCATAAGATGGATGATAATGATAGAGATGAAGACGGTGGTGGATTGTGGGATGTGGCCCACCTGTCACACAGGTGTCGGCTTTGGCTTGTTTTGAGCCCTCGCCTGATGACAGTCGCATGCTGTTGATGATATACTTCACTGTTGTCACTGCGACTGGTTTATAAATTGGCTCTGAATTTTAAACCAAATGGGAATGTAGCTATGGGGAGGGAGTGTGGGGGGAGTGCATAAATCAGTATGTAGATTGTCCTCCTTTCACTCCACAATCCCTTCTGAATTACATAGAAGATGGTTGTGTAAACTACGGTTGTTTTCAAGATCCAACATATTATTAGGGCTTCTACTCAACCACCTTGTGGAGATTTCATTAAAGTTATCATTTGCATAGACAGGGAATCCAGAACTACAGTATTTTACAGTCCAGACATACAGTATTTCACTTTGGAGGTCGCCCTCAACCTAATAACCTGTACCCAACCAGGCAACCCCAACTCAACCTGGCAACCTCAACCCAACCTGGCAACCCCAACCCAACCTGGCAACGTCAACCCAATCTGGCAACCCACACCCAATCTTATTTGGCAACATAGTCTGACGTGATATAGCCCTCAGGTATTCGTCACCTTTGGTTGCCCTCATTCAGATTAAGCAGCATGAATCATCATAGTTATGCAGCATGCTGGTATCTGTAGTCAACATAAAGCCTACATACATTCCTATTGTCTGCTAGGGAGGGTTTATACATGGGGAAATCCCTAAACATGTACTGGCTGACTAAACCTATACTTCCACAGTATTAGCAGAGCTCTCCGTCAAGGCAGTAGCAGTAATTAGTATTGTGTCATATTTTGTGTCAATGCGATGTTAATCTCTGACCAGGCTATGAGTAAATCCTTTGCAACAAAACAGGTCGTAGATGACAGAGAGGCCTACTATTACAGCTGATTTATACCAATATTATTTATCATCTCAATCGATGGGTTTAATGAGATGCGGTGCAGGGCCACCCTTTAAAACAGCCATTTCTATTTATGAGCTTTCCGGACTTTGAAAATGAGTTTATGTGAGGCTTTTAGTCAAGCTGGGTGTCCAAATCCTGCCCCGTCTTTCAGAGCAGACGTAAGAGACCCGACCTTGCTCTGAGTGTGTGCCAAAACAAAACAGAGTGAAATGTCAAGCTTTAATTTCAGAGCTGATGGGATGAGAAAGAGGGGGGAGTTGGAGGAGTGTGTGGGATGGGGTTTGGCCCATCTCATGGGAAAGGAGACGTCTGGCTGGGTGCACTACAGTCTGGTCCAGCATGTGCACTAATCATAACCTGCTGTCTGCTGGGAAAACGACAGCAAAACAACAACGCCGTTATCGCACACTAAACCAGAGCACCAGGAATATTTTATTCTATTTTATTAGAAGCAGTACTTAATTGAATTAATGGCTGAAGACTGTAGGCTATATCAGACAAAGAGTGAGTGAATTAACTGATAAGGAATTACTTTTTTGGATGCACAACTACAAGAGAAATAGCATTGTAACTACAGGTGTATAAGGCTATTATTTTATCACTTGTTAGTCTTAAGTAGGCAGCTAAGCAACCACAATTAGTGTGAGCATCCGTTGTTTAGTGGTTATTAAATCCGGAAACCTAAAATATAAACTCCCAATTAAAAATTCTCAGTGGGCGTGAATGGGATGCAGCCATGTTGTTACAACCGTCTTCTATAAAGTTAATTATACACCCTCTCTCTGCAGTCTCCAACTCCAGCCAGAATGTTTCAGGTGTGCTCACGCATGCCCACAAAGCCCCTGTCAACAAAGGGACAAAGGAAACCAGGAAAAACGCCTGAGGTCCTGGAGAGCTATAAATAGGGCTGGCACTTCGCCCTTCCCAGGGTGTGTGTGTGCTTTGCCCTTGAGTCGTTCCACCTCTAAAAGCATAAGAAAGACGATTTCGACACCCACCATCTCAGATTATTCTGAAATTGTTTCTGACTAGCATTCCTGAAACATTATTTTGTTGAAAGATAAATCAAATTGTCTTATCTGTTTCTAACTACAGAAACCATTTGAGAGCAATCTGAGATGGTGGGTGTCATGGCTTGCTGAAATGAAATGGAACGACCCCCTTCCCACCTTCCCAACGCTCCTGTTCCTAAAACAAACTAAGGAGATCTTCCTCTACCATACCCTTCCCTGCCTTACCCTGCCCTGTTGTCGGAATCTCCATCCGGAGCACTGGGAATCTTGTGGCGTTCCGTGTTCCATATCGGAAGTCTCCCCTCCCTGTAACAGAGTAGCATAATCCCCTGTGGGGTTAGAACTGAGCTGGTGATGACGGAGAGCTCACACACACACACACACACACACACACACACACACACACAGTTCCTGGGAGACATGCCATTGGTATAACACAGAGTACATGCTGCTGAGTGATAGCACTTGACATCATGCTGTTATGATATTACAACTTTCCAGCACTGATAGACATAATAGTGTAGATTGACAGACACTCTGTCCTCAGCCAATCACTTCAGGCTACCAGGTGCACCATGCAACCTAACTGGAGTACCGGTAGTTCAGAGTTTAATGAATAAAATGATAGGATTAGTGCTTCCTTACAAGCTGAGGATTTGAAATGGATATGGCCTTTTAGGTTTTTAATTAACACTTGATTGGGGAGATTAATGGGTAAGTTTATAGGAGTTGTTAGGAAATTTCCTCCTGCTGAATGACGTGTGTGTCTGTCTGTCTGTGTGCATGTGTGTGTGAATGATCTCGGTGATACATACTGACAGTGTAGGAAACCAGCCACAGAACACTGTAATAGATTAGCCTGTGTGTTTACCTCTCTCAATTAGGAGTTGGACTTTGCTGTGGTTCCTCAAGACCCTTACCTAATTCAGCAGTAAGTAAGGCAAAAACACAATCACAACTTAATAAGCCAAACTACAGTGTATAATAACTATGTTATAACTATGTTATTATACACTCACTGCTATTTCCTTTGACATTTGTCCTACTTGTAAAGTTTTTCCATTTCTATTCTCATTCTATTCGTGTGAGAACAGTTCGCTGTGTGGAAATTGCTGAGTGTTGCAGAAGGGAAATTGCTGGGTGCACAATTACGGCTATTCAGCCAGGGCCGTGTGGGTCACTCTCACTCCTCTCTGCTGCAGATGAGAGCGGGATAAAATAAGGATAAGAGACCCAGGTCCAGCTCTCTGTCTGCTCTGGACAATAGCCTCCCTGCTTCAGTCTAGTGCTGCCCCCTCGTCAAGGCTTTCATGCTTACAGTGGAGTGGTTGTTGGTGAGCCATGAAAGGACCTCTCCCACCATCCCACTCATCCGTCCCACAGGCCCTTACCCGAATAGTGGCGATAGAAATGTCTTGTGTAGAGTTGACGTGATTCCCCGTTCTACATGACAGAGAGGCAAGTCTCTTCTATATAGTGCGTTTCTATCTGAATATGTAGTGTTTAATCCTCCTGAACTGGCCCCAGAGCCACGTCTCTGTTGTCTCTACTCTGTACTCGGTCTCTCATAAAACACTGCATCGTTCATGTCAGCCATATTGTTGGGCTTGGGCCCCTCGTGTATCTCATGCACTCACCCTGCCTTCATCTCATCTCTCTGCATTGGACCACTCGTCACGTCCCAGGTTTATCATTCGGCTTTCAGCTCGTTTTGTGTCAGCCGCTGAATGTCATCCCACCGCGCAAGGCAATTGTCAATTAAGACCCCGAAGCGCTCCTCCAATCCGACGGCATAAAAGTGCTCAATAGTAGGCCTCACAGGAGGCTGGGCTATTTAGGAGAGAACAGACGTGGATCTGAATAAGTTGCTGCTGCTACCTGATCAATACCACCCCATTGTTTTTGACGTGCTTCTCCCTTTGCTTTTTTCATTCTCTCCTTGTACTTCTGGGAGCTGATTTAATATGAAGCAGTGTGAGGTAAATAACAATGGGGAGGGCTGTGAAGTTCCTTATTTGTATTAGCGTGACGAGAATATAGGTCTACCCCGTTGCTACTGTCATCTCTTCTCTCTCTCTTCTGCACGCCAACCAGGCCTGTGTGTGTGTCGCCCGTATATCAATTTGCGGAGGCGGCAGTGAGCTGAGGAGCGAAGGGAAGAGCACCGATAATGTGTTTCTGATATTCCAGCCGAGCGGTTATCATAGCATGACACCGGGGTAAACGAAACACTCATCACTCAGGATTTATGGGCCAGAAACGGTACCGCAAACGCACGCCACGCATGGCTCACCGCCGCCGCCAATGAGAGACAGGAGGAGGAGGGAGAGGGGGATAAAATGTGCATTGAGTTAATCACGTACTGCTGTGCGGCTGCATACTGCCAAAGTGGCTCTGTTTCTTTGCTGAAGCAGAAAAGTTTCCACTCCATTTTGGCTCTGTCGCTTGTTTTGTTTTGTTTCACCCTGTTGAATGGTGTTTTGCACTCGGTTGGTAGAAACTGTGTGGTTGGTGAGGGATGATGATGATGATGAGAGTGGCCCTTGTAGCTGGATTACAGCATGTACTGTATCATCATAGATCTGTGCCTGTAAAACACAGTGTGACAGAATGTTCTGCACTTCAAGACAGGGACACATGAAATAGGAACGCTGTCTGGCACTTCTGCATTTATATGGGAAAAAGAGAGCATCTTCTTGGGTTACAAAAGCTTTTTTATAAAGGTTCCTTCCTGAAACGAAAAGACAGAAAGGATTAAAGAAATAAAAAAGCAATTCAAACGTGTTTGAAGGAGAATATGTTACATCTGAATTGACTGTACTGTGATTAGATAATGTTGATTCATCTTCCAGTCAAACATTGATACTTCTGGTATTGTACAGATATGTTTGATATTTGTTAGCTCATACCATTCCATCCAATACCTTCTTATTTCACTTATATAAGACTTACATAAGTTAGTGAAGCCAACGGCAGGTTCGTGGGTTTGATTCCTGCTGGGGCCACCAATATAAAAGCATCTGATGAATGGCATATATTATTATTCTATTACATAAGCACAACATTCCTTTTTACTGAATGTTCAGCTCTGTCTGCAGGGAAGATGTCTGACGTCCGCGCGTGGAGGAAACGGCAGCAGCTGAACAACCTGGTCGCCATGGCGACGGAGCTGGCCCGGCCGGGGGACACAGTGGTGGATTTCTGCAGCGGAGGGGTACAGTACGTCCGTCAGTCCTTCGGTCCATCTCTCTATCCTTCCACCACCTCCTCTGTCCATCCGTCAATCACGCTCTATCTGTCTGTCCTCATTAGACTGTCTGTTAGAAATCAGGATGAAAGGCTACAGTTCTTCTCTTATCTTCTTTCGCTCTCTTTTGGAAAACTCTTGTTATTCCATGCACAGACAGACAGGAGAGAGAGAGAAGAGAGTGAGTGGTCTATCATGAAGGGAGTGCACACTTCACAGCAGTAGCACTGACTGTGGCTAATAATGGATCAATATTGGAGTAGACAGAGCGGTAGGCCGCTACTGATCACAGCCCCTTTGATGTGCTCGGCTCGGCTTTGAAGCGTGTTTTTCCTCCGTATATATTTATGTCTTGTCTTTTTCCGTGTTGTGTTTTTCCAGGGCCACGTCGGGATCGTTCTGGCTCACATGCTGCCCGACTGCCAGGTAGGTTGAAAGTTGAAGCTCAGTGCTTCTCCACACAACTGTCTTGTCTACCAAGTTGAAGCTAGCTCGCATTAGGGTGGCTTGACATAATTCGATACTGAGTTACACATTCGTGTTGTGTTTTTCCAGAGAATTTTGAAATTCAAGCATGTTGTATCGCATTCCTCTCTTTGCAAATAACAGGCTTAGTATTTCATTAATTTAATTATTTTACACTGTAGAATTGTATTTTTTTCTAATAATTCTTAGACTTTTAGCCTATAGCTGTCTAGTAAGCTATTCATAACCTAGGAGGTAAGAGTCAACTAAGAGTAATGTTAGATTAGCTACGTGTAAGCGGTAATAATATAGAAATAATAATATTCCATTTAGCAGACGCTTTTATCCAAAGTGAATTACAGTCACGAGTGCATACATTTTTTACGTGTGGGCCGTCCCGGGAATCAAACCCACTTTTTGGGGGGCATTGCAAGAGTAATGCTCAACCAACTGAGCAACAGAGGACCAGAGTTGATTCGGTAAAAGTAAGAGGTAATCTTGTGTGGTTAACTGTAGGTGATCCTGATAGAGAACAAGGAGGAGTCTCTGGTTAGGGGGAAGGTGAGGAGTGCTGAACTGGGCCTGACCAACATAGGCTTCATCCAGGCCAACCTGGACTACTTCACTGGACCCTTCCACATAGGGGTGAGTACAGATGAATACTATATTATAGCTTATTTTTTATATAATGTAATGTAATATGGTCATTTAGCAGATGCTTTTGTCAAAAGGAACTTACAGGACTGTTGACATTGACAGTGGCACGTACATGCAGTTTATGTGGCCTATAAGGAAATCCAACCCACAACAAGGTGTTGCCAGAACCATGCTAGTCTAACCCGCTGAGACAGTCATATTCACTACACAGACATGAATATAGAAACTCATTCCATCTCTTTTACTTGTCGTGCTTACTGTACACCATGAGAGCTACTACTGTCAAAGAGAGCTTAACAAACGGTTTGATTTCACCAGTACTTCTAGATGGCTCATCTTCTCAAGTTGTCAATGTGACACTTGAGGGAAGACTCAGTTTGCACAAGAAAGGAATCGTCCACAGACTTGCTGCTCTCAAAGTGTCTTATCTACGTTGTCACAGAGTAGAACAGCATGCAGGATTCCTTTTTTGTTCAGTTATGGATTTAGAATGATTTCCCAGAACTGGAACTTATTTTGGATAAGTTTAGCCCATATAAGTATGTTTGAATGTTTGAGAAGAATCAAAGATTATATTTCTTTAGGGAAAACTTTTGACAGTTTATTTAGGTAACTTCTGCTCTCCAGTTGCACCCCCAACTGATTATAACGGGGACCTTGTCCTTTCCCTTCTCTGAGCATTGTGGGTAATCAAAAAGCCCATTCTATCAGAAGAACATTACGACCAAGCTTTTCAGTGCTCCATTTTCTTTAAAAGTACCTTTGCTCACCACCTCCTCCTCCTCCAATACTTTGAAAAGAAAACACATTTTCCTTTTAATTGCTTACTTTGCAGAGCACTGAAGTGGAGCGAAAACAAACACCCTGCCAAAAGATGTAGGAGCAATATATTCTATTCAGGCAGAGGTTAGAAGGAATAACCGTTTGGAAGAGTAAGTGTTTATTATGAAGGCAAAACGTTTCAACTCCCCAGCTATTTGCAGCGTTTATTACGTTGACCTCTCATTTTGACCACATGAATCATCTGACTCCGCTAGTTGACTCATTTGCATCTGTATCAGCCAGCGTGAGACCTGTGTGTGTTTTTTGTGGCTCGTTCACACACAGGTCTCACGCTGGCTGATACAGATGCAAATGAGTCAACTAGCGGAGTCAGATGATTCATGTGGTCAAAATGAGAGGTCAACGTAATAAACGCTGCAAATAGCTGGGGAGTTGAAACGTTTTGCCTCACTTGCTGTGCTAGATAATTGTGGTTTATTTCACTCAGCGAGCCGCTCCTACCGCAGTTATAAGTTACTTCACTAGCGCTCTCCTCTCTCTCCTCCACACAGAGTCTGCGGGCCAGATGAGATGAGAACCTACCACTTACACTGTGTGTGTGTGTGTGTGTGCGCGTCTCCCGCAGTGTATTTCAATTCCTCTCCTCTCCTGACAGAATGGAATAAACGCCCACGTTCATCAGCGGCCCTCTAACGACCTGAACTGCCTAATTAGTCCCAAATTAAAAGAGTTGTCGTTAATTACAGTATCGTCACGTCTATTTTGATCTGCTTGTGTTGGTTGTTGGCCACAGAACAGGTGCTTGTTTGATTTAGGAATTCATTAGCTTGGTTAAACCAGTCTGGATGGTAACTTCACCATTGTGTCACTTCACTTATCATGGTGAGTGAGGAGTTCAGTCGGGGTTAACCAGGCTAGGAAGTCATCTCCCACGCCACAAATGAACTGTAAAGCCTGTATGTGTACTAAACCTAGATGCCAAGTGTTGGTGTTAATAATATATTTATTTGATAGGAACAATGAAAACATTCACGTTTAACTATCAAGTGTCAGATAATAATAATAATAAATAATTGATTGGACTTAATGGACAACTAAATATCTATTATATTATATTATATTATATTACAGTATATCATGCATCCGTCTCTAAAATATGTCAAACATAATGTTCAAATCTAAATGTAAAACATGTAGGTTATGCCCATCTCTCCTGTTCAGACAGAGTGAGTCATCATAGCTGAGATTCAGACTAGAATCTGGACTTTACTTCAGGCTTGCTGCTCCTCCCTGCTTCCCCCAGCCTGAGGTCCAGCAGGTGTATGGTAGTCCACCAGTTCATCAATGAGCTTGACACCTTGATAAGTTCCTTTCCTGAGGATGGCTCACCCCTCACAGTTCTGGGGGATTTCAACCTCCCTACGTCTACATTTGACTCATTTCTCTCTGCCTCCTTCTTTCCACTCCTCTCCTCTTTTGACCTCACCCTCTCACCGTCCCCCCCTACTCACAAGGCAGGCAATACGCTTGACCTCATCTTTACTAGATGCTGTTCTTCTACTAATCTCACTGCAACTCCCCTCCAAGTCTCCGACCACTACTTTGTATCCTTTTCTCTCTCCCTCTCCTCCAACACTACTCACTCTGCCCCTACACAGATGGTAATGCGCCGTCACAACCTTCGCTCTCTTTCTCCCGCTACTCTCTCCTCTTCCATCCTATCATCTCTTCCCTCTGCTCAATCATTCTCCCTCCAATCTCCTGATTCTGCCTCCTCAACCCTCCTCTCCTCCCTTTCTGCATCCTTTGACTCTCTATGTCCCCTATCCTCCCGGCCGGCTCGGTCCTCCCCTCCAGCTCCGTGGCTTGATGACTCATTGCGAGCTCACAGAACAGAGCTCCGGGCAGCTGAGCGGAAATGGAAGAAAACTAGACTCCCTGCAGACCTGGCATCTTTTCACTCCCTCCTCTCTACATTTTCTTCATCTGTTTCTGCTGCTAAGGCCACTTTCTACCACTCTAAATTCCAAGCATCCGCCTCTAACCCTAGGAAGCTCTTTGCCACATTCTCCTCCCTGCTGAATCCCCCCCCCCTCCCTCCTCCCTCTCTGTGGATGACTTCGTCAACCATTTTGAAAAGAAGGTTGACGACATCCGATCCTCGTTTGTTAAGTCAAATGACACTGCTGGTCCTGCTCACACTGCCCTACCCTACGCTTTGACTTCTTTCTCCCCTCTCTCTCCAGATAAAATCTTGCGACTTGTGACGGCAGGCCGCCCAACAACCTGCCCGCTTGACCCTATCCCCTCCTCTCTTCTCCAGACCATCTCCGGTGACCTTCTCCCTTACCTCACCTCGCTGATCAACTCATCCTTGACCGCTGGCTATGTCCCTTCCGTCTTCAAGAGAGCGAGAGTTGCACCCCTTCTCAAAAAACCAACACTCGATCCCTCTGATGTCAACAACTACAGACCAGTATCCCTTCTTTCTTTTCTCTCCAAAACTATTGAGCGTGCCGTCTTTAGCCAACTCTCTTGCTATCTCTCTCAGAATGACCTTCTTGATCCAAACCAGTCAGGTTTCAAGACTGGTCATTCAACTGAGACTGCTCTTCTCTGTGTCACAGAGGCTCTCCGCACTGCTAAAGCTAACTCTCTCTCCTCTGCTCTTGTCCTTCTAGACCTGTCTGCTGCCTTTGATACTGTGAACCATCAGATCCTCCTCTCCACCCTCTCCGAGCTGGGCATCTTCGGCGCGGCTCACTCTTGGATTGCGTCCTACCTGACCGGTCGCTCCTACCAAGTGGCGTGGCAAGAAGCTGTCTCCGCACCACGTGCTCTCACCACTGGTGTCCCCCAGGGCTCAGTTCTAGGCCCTCTCCTATTCTCGCTATACACCAAGTCACTTGGCTCTGTCATATCCTCACATGGCCTCTCCTATCATTGCTACGCTGACGACACACAACTAATCTTCTCCTTTCCCCCTTCTGATAACCGGGTGGCGAATCGCATCTCTGCATGTCTGGCAGACATATCAGTATGGATGACGGATCACCACCTCAAGCTGAACCTCGGCAAGACGGAGCTGCTCTTCCTCCCGGGGAAGGACTGCCCGTTCCATGATCTCGCCATCACAGTTGACAACTCCGTTGTGTCCTCCTCCCAGAGTGCGAAGAGCCTTGGCGTGACCCTGGACAACACCCTGTCGTTCTCCGCTAACATCAAGGCGGTGACCCGATCCTGTAGGTTCATGCTCTACAACATTCGGAGAGTACGACCCTGCCTTACACAGGAAGCGGCACAGGTCCTAATCCAGGCACTTGTCATCTCCCGTCTGGATTACTGCAACTCGCTGTTGGCTGGGCTCCCTGCCTGTGCCATTAAACCCCTACAACTCATCCAGAATGCCGCAGCCCATCTGGTGTTCAACCTTCCCAAGTTCTCTCACGTCACCCCGCTCCTCCGCACACTCCACTGGCTTCCAGTTGAAGCTCGCATCTGCTACAAGACCATGGTGCTTGCCTACGGAGCTGTGAGGGGAACGGCACCTCCGTACCTTCAGGCTCTGATCAGTCCCTACACCCAAACGAGGGCACTGCGTTCATCCACCTCTGGCCTGCTGGCTCCCCTACCTCTGCGGAAGCATAGTTCCTGCTCAGCCCAGTCAAAACTGTTCGCTGCTCTGGCACCCCAATGGTGGAACAAGCTCCCTCACGACGCCAGGACAGCGGAGTCACTCACCACCTTCCGGAGACATTTGAAACCCCACCTCTTTAAGGAATACCTGGGATAGGATAAAGTAATCCTTCTACCCCCCCCCCCCCCCCCCCCCCCCCCCCTGGCTACCACTCTGTGACAGCTAAGAGCGTTGAAGCGCGAAGCTCAACTTCTCCACTGTTTTGGTCCCCTGGCTACCACTCTGTGACAGCGTGAAGCAAACCTGTGCACAGATACTGTGTGAGAGCGAAGTCTTGCATCTCGCTCGTCTCAGTATCTGCGGTGCTACCTTTAAAAAACAACATGTAAAACGTATACTATGTCCATCTATTGTCCCAGGTACGTTATGTTACGATGTGTTCAGACAGAGTGAGTCACCGTAGTGAGTTTCAGACTAGACATTGTGCTAAAAGCTTCCTCCACCATACCTGCTGTTATTAGAGCTAGTGCCTGACTACTGTTGCAGACCAGCCACTTCATGGAGACCCGCTCCACTTGGCCAAAAACAAACATAACAGCAATGTACTCTCCACAGTACTGTGTGGGTTGGGGAGTGTGTTTGGTATCTACTGTAGTCAGGGAATGTTTTTCTGCACGCGCACACACACACACACACACACACACACACCACACACACACACACACCACACACACACACACACAGGTGGAGAGACCTTCAGCAAGTGTTTATGCATTAAGGAGAAAGATGTATTGAGAAACAATTCCCTTCGTTTTGTGCAGAGGAGTTTAAACTTTTTTAATAGGCCAGTTTTTTAATAGTCCACTCCCTTACCCCCAGGTGTCCGTGGTGTGAATGCACAGCATATTATTTAGTGCAGCCAGTTAGTGCCCACTCCCTCACCCCCAGGTGCAGCCTATCATGCTGAATAATGGCAGTATGTATTATACATGGCTCCATTTCTAGCCCTAGATAGTCATTTACTCAGGCTAATTAGGTTGTTCCCTATTCTTAGCTATGGAGGCTTGCTCTCTCATGTTGGAAGAACAACGCGTGTGCCAGGCCAGGTGTGTATCAGCTTGGTGTCAGGAGACGAGAGTTTATCCCCCATAGATCTCCTCTCATAGAATATCCACCAGTGTATCTCTCCTCTCTTAGTATTAGAGTGATGGCTGAGGCCTGCACCCCCCCCCCCCCCCCCTCCTTGGGGAGAGCCAGGTCCTCTGAGGAACAGAGAGTAGTGGAGCGTAACATCTGAATACTGCTGAGAAGATCTGAGTCTTCAGTGTGGTCCCTTTATCTTTGCTCTCTCTCTCTCTCTCTTTCTCTTTTCTCTCTCTCTCACTCACTCACTCACTCTCTCTCTCTTCTCTTTTCTCTCTCTCTCTTCTCTCTCTCTCTCTTCTCTTTTCTCTCTCTCTCTCTTCCTCTCTCTATCGCAGTATCTATTTCTCTTTCACCCTTCATTCTCTCTCCTCTTTCACTCTCTCTGCTTTCTCCCGCTCTCTCTCGCTATCACCCCCACCTCTCTCTCTCTCTCTCTCTCTCTTCCCACTCACTCTCCCTCCCTAGCCCTCTCCAACCAGCAGGGGTAGATGAGCTTTAGGGTCTGAGTAGACTAGAACAGTGGGAGTCAAAGTAAAGCTGCTCTGTGCGGTAGGTAGGTAGGTAGGTTGTCTCTCCTTATCACTGACAGAGCCTCCCATATTGCACTATAGAGTGCAAATGAACCACGATGTGTTAAAAGTAATACCGGGGGAAAATGTTAATTCAGTACCAGAGGTAATAAGCACCGATGCACACGGGATGTGATGTATTGCCGTGGTTAGCCGTGAAGTGTTTTTCATGCTGAGACTGTGTGTCTCTGTGTGTGTGTGTGGACCAGGGTGTATTGCCGTGGTTAGCCGTGAAGTGTTTTTCATGCTGAGAATGTGTGTCTCTGTGTGTGTGTGTGGACCAGGGTGTATTGCCGTGGTTAGCCGTGAAGTGTTTTTCATGCTGAGACTGTGTGTCTCTGTGTGTGTGTGTGGACCAGGGTGTATTGCCGTGGTTAGCCGTGAAGTGTTTTTCATGCTGAGACTGTGTGTCTCTGTGTGTGTGTGGACCAGGGTGTAATAGCCGTGAATAAAGAGTTTCAGAGCTCATATTTCAGCCCACCGCCTGTTCTTATTCATTATGATGTAAAGTTGTACTTGTGCAAAGGTGAGAGGGGGAAAAACCATTATGGACCAGAATCTTCAATAAGATCTACTCCCACCTTCCCCCCAAAAGACAGGTGAGACTAATAAAGAGTGCTTTTTCTGAACACTCCTCAATCCTTTATCGGTTTGCATTAATACATAATTTATACCGGCCTCCACAGAAGCCTCTGGTTTAATGGAAACAGGCTCTCCCCACGTGGACAGTCCCTTTCTTTAGTCTAGTTTTGCAATTGTTTCTTTAGTCTTGTTTTATCACGTGGTCTGTCTGTGTTTTCCTTTGCAACGTTCCCTCTTTATTAAGTAACCGATACTAGAACACAACGTAGTACACTCTGTGTTTCAAGAACAAAGAATACATTTTGGAATTTTAATGCAGAGCTTCCTCCTCAGCAATGCAAAACAGCTAACAACATTCCTTTGGTCTGGTTGGCAGGAAGGACCTCCATCTTTATCACATTACTACACATTATTACTAGCTTCCAAGATGGCCGACGATAAAAAGACAAAGGAGGCCTCGGAATGTGTTACCAATATGTGGCTAGTACCTTCTATTTGTAATCTTTTCTTTTCCGCTGGCGCTGCTCGTGCTGAAGTTGCTGGTGGTCTTGGTAGTATTGCTGTTGTCGGCCATTCTACTTCTGATACTTTCCCTATACTGACCTCAATAAACCATTTTACAGGGATTTGCCTTCACTGGTGTAATATGTTTAATGAGATGCTGGTTTGTTGTTGGAATGAAAACCTGAAACTACAGTATGCCCCCAGGACAAAAGACAAAAGAACCCTGGCTTAAAGAGTTGCATCTAACATTCCAGCACTCTGTTCCTATAAGGACCTGTCTTCTAGTCCCTCTCCGTGACTGGAATGATGCCTCCAGATAGTCATGCCAAAGACGGGCCAACCCAGGCCAAGGCACTGCAGGGCTCCAGTGTGGTCTGGGGGTGGTGGGGGGGGCCAAACAACAGTCGAATTAAGGTTCCTTAAATCTCTAGGCTGCAGTATATTTCTCAGGAGCCCATCCAACTCTCCCTGGAAATGCCTGGCTGAGCTATTCTAAAGCCTTCTGCCGCAACCACAGAATGAGAGAGGAGTGTATACAAAAACTTGGCTGCGGTTTTATAGTTACAGAAATGTCATAATCCACAGAGAAGAGCCAAGCTCTGATATGGATGTGAAGGAGCAGGTGGTATATATTAGGGCTGTGATGGATTACAGTAGTCAGCCTGCCATGATGCATTTGATGTGGACTTAAAGTAACTTTAGGGGACGTTCATCCCAAAAGAATGGTAGCTCTTTAGCAGGGGATTTGCTAGGATTCTAATCTTAAATCTTGGAAGAGGCTGTCTCACACGTTGAACAGAATCCGTTGGACATGGACTTATCTCTAACATTGTCTTTGTGGATCTTTTGAAGTTCTCCCAACACCTCATTTTGGATCTTCCATTCGAAGCTGATGACGTTAGCTAGCTAGTGTTTCTGACTGGGCCCCAGTGCTAGAGTGCTGATTGAGAATAGCCAGTAGTAATAGTTTGCTGATAAGTACTACCCCAGAGCCATACTGTTTAGAGAGTTAGGACAACTTTTAGAATGTGATATATTTTGTTCCAATTCTAGACATTCAGTTAGTTACATAGCATTGTTTAAATATTCCCCATGTAATGTTAATTGGGAGCTAACATGACTACCATAGAATGTTGAAGTGTCATGTAAATGCATCATAATTCAGAAACCGCATTGGCCCAACTCTCTAAATGCATGGCTCTGGTCCAACTTACTCCCAACAAAATGTGGTTCCAGGTGCTGTAGTCCAGCTACCATAGATGTTTGGGATTTTGATGGAAATGTCTTAGCTCTCAGTCGAAGAGCATCAGAATTATCAACATCTACTACTCCAGTGTTTACCAAACATCTCCTTGAGTACCCCAAACCATGCCACTTATCTGATGTATTTCAGACAGTACTAGCACACCGGAATCAATTTGTCAACTGATCAACAAACACTGTACTCATGGATATCGACCTGAAGTAGATCCAGTATGCACAGTGGGTCCCCAGGACCAGGATATTAGGAAACAGTCTGCTACAGTAGAGTCCCAGAGTCCCCTCTCTCTGTCTCTCCCTCTCTCCCTCCCTCTCTCCCTCTCTCCCTCCCTCTCTCCCTCCCTCCACCCAGCAACCTCTAACCACTCCTCTGGTAATGTCTGTTGAGATGCAGAGCGTCAGGCACGGTTTACCTGCTCAATGGGAAATCCGGTTCCTCCGTGCCTCCACTGCTAAACGACTCAAAGTTTGTTTACTCCACACGTTCAGCATCAAGAGGCTTCTTTAACTAGTTAATCAATGAGTTTATTTCAAACGGTTCCGTTTGTTTTCCCTATTGACTCAGGGTTTGGTTTGCTATCCGAGATGTTTTCCAATGAGGTGTATCATATCGTGATGATGTAATGTGATGGATGCAGAGAAAGAGTGTGTTCTGATTGGGTCATTTTTAAAAAATATGTGTGCGCATGTGTGTGTGTCTGCGCACGCGCCTGTGAATGTGTGTGCCTGTGTTTTAATGTGTGTGTGTGTGTGTGTGTGTGTCTGCAGGTGGCCCTCCATGCGTGTGGCGTGGCGACAGACATGGTGGTGGAGCAGTGTGTCCAGGCGGGAGCGGCCTTCGTGGTCAGCCCCTGCTGCTACGGCTTTGTCCAGAACACACTGAAGTTCACCTTCCCCAGGAGGTCTGTCTGTCTGTCTGCCTGTCTCAATGTATGCCTGTCTTTCTGCCTGCCTGCCTGTCTCTCTGTCTGCCTATCTGTCTCTTTGTCACCATCTGTCACTGTCTGCCTGTCACGGTCTGTCTGTCACTGTCTGTCTGTCACTGTCTGTCTGCCTGTCACTGTCTGCCTGTCACTGTCTGTATCTTGTGTCTCCTTACCGGTCTTCTTCTGTTATCTTTATTGACTGTATCTCCCACCATTTCTGCCTCTCTCTCTCTTGCTCTTGTACCTCTCTGCCTCCTTCTCTATCTGCATTGGTCTCTGGCTTATGTTCTCTTCCACAGCGTCTAGGACTTCTGTGTCACCCTGCTCTCTCATTCAGTCTCAGTCCATTCAATCAGATCTTTCAGTACAGGGCTGCTGTCACAAAATTACAGAGTAAAAACCTACCCCATAACAAATAAGTTGGCTAAGACGAATCACTGCTCACTCCGAAAAGTACTTTTGCTCATTTCATTCTGGGGCCGAGCCGAAACAACTAATGAATTTGATGTCTTGATATTTTCCTGGGCTGAGGTAAGATCCGAAGAGTCGGAATTGTGCTTGAGGGCATGAACGAGGGAGAAAAATGTGGGACCTCGTTTTTTTTAATGCTGTTGTTCCTGTTGCCATGACAGCTGTGTATGGGTGGTCCCAGGGATCGAACCCACTACCTTGGCGTTACAAGCGCCGTGCTCTACCAGCTGAGCTACAGAGGACCACGACTCAAAGAATGAATCAGTATTCATGTTACTCCACACTACACCACAGCCTTGACTAGTTCATCCTCAGGCAATGGTCCTGAAGACAAACTTTCACCAAGAGTCAACATACCAAGTTCAAATTCCCAGGTGTTTAAGTGCAACCGGCAGAATACCTGAGTTGTTTATATCCAGAACCTGATCAGAAGCTTTGGATGTGTGTATGGAATATTTTGTTATACTAAGTTTAAAAAACGGGCCACTCTACAGTACCTAACTATGGAGTTCGTAAACCGACAGGCTATAGCCGGCCAAGTGAAACACTAGAGTCCTCAACTGAGTGGTCTGACTGCCCGTGACATGACCTTTGACGTCTTCAGTGCCATGGTGATTATTAGTTAGCTTTGCGCTCTTTCTCGCTACTCTTTAACACCACAAACAAACAGCCAGTTTCCCAGAACATTGGATAAAGACTTTGCTCAAAATGAGCATTGTTTGGGTTTTTGTCATGTATCGAGTTTATCATAAGAAGATAGTTTGTTATATCATGACTTATCAAGACAAAAGAAGATGGATACTTGACTCAGTATGTGAATATCAGTGTATACAATGCAATACAAATAGTTTTCCCACAGAAAAGCATAATGTGCAGATTTACTGAAATGTTTTCACATTTAATTGTCTTTTCTCTGAGCATTATTCCAAAAATATCTCACTTCTTTTACATTCTCTCATTTTGCAGCAAAAGGTTTCTGGAGACACTGAGTTACAAGGTAGGTTTAATTAATTTAAAATGAGTGTTAGATTCCCCACTGAATGTATTGTTTGTTTGGATGTATATCATATCAGCAGCGAATATTGAACTAAGTCAGATTTAATTAAAGTCTTATTTATTTATGGTAATTGCGAACAGTGTTCTCCTACACAGGCTACAACAGTTTTGACCCCTCAGTTATAAAGCATCATAATTTACAGTCGTGCTGAAAGCAGTTGCTCCCTTGCCACGAATTACAAGAGGTTATACAAAACACATGCATTGTTTAATTTCAAGTGGAGTCCAAGTCATTTTCTCTGACTCAGAGAGTGAGAGTGAGAGAGAGAGAAAGAGAGAGAGAGAGAGAGAGGGGGAGAGAAAGAGAGAGAGAGGGGGAGAGAGAGAGAGAGAGAGAGAGAGAGAGAGAGAGAGGGAGAGAGAGAGACAGAAATAGCTCTCCTGTTGATTTATCCTGGTAACTAAAGCCAGCTTTTCCAGGAATCACATTGTTACAGCCTCACACCACTTCTACCAAGGCTCTCTTCCAATAATAATTTATTCAACGTTTATAGCGCTATTCATTACATAAAGAAAGCAACAGCAACAAAAAAACTTGCACTTTCAAAACAACATTAATCATGAGTAGATCGACGGTCAAGAGACTGAATGTTGAGAAAGTTCATGGCTTGATTGAGGTCAGCGGAGGTTCAAATACTATTCCAAATATACATTTTAGTCACTTAGCAGACGTATTTGTCCTGAGCCACACAGGAGGACAAATGCATCCTTACTTCACTCCGTTCCTTGGAGTCATCAATTTTGGGTAGGTGAACGCAAGGCTCTATGTCAGATCAGTGATTACTTAAAGGAAGGCAGAATGCATTTTCAGAGTATCAGAAAAGGGCCCAAGTCTTATCGCTTGACACTGACAGTGCACTGAACTGGGAGGAGTTGATGACATCATAATCTCTTAATGATGTATGGCCTCAGTCACTCACTACTCTAATCAGCTGAGGCCTGCTATAGGGCCTCGCCATGACAACTGGAACATGACAGTTGATGGGTCCGAAAACTGACTACTACTAGTATATTTTGGTAATGGTCTATTCTCTGACTACTACTAGTATATTTTGGTAATGGTCTGTTCTCTGACTACTACTAGTATATTTTGGTAATGGTCTATTCTCTGACTACTACTAGTATATTTTGGTAATGGTCTATTCTCTGACTACTACTAGTATATTTTGGTAATGGTCTATTCTCTGACTACTACTAGTATATTTTGGTAATGGTCTATTCTCTGACTACTACTAGTATATTTTGGTAATGGTCTATTCTCTGACTACTACTAGTATATTTTGGTAATGGTCTATTCTCTGACTACTACTAGTATATTTTGGTAATGGTCTATTCTCTGACTACTACTAGTATATTTTGGTAATGGTCTATTCTCTGACTACTACTAGTATATTTTGGTAATGGTCTATTCTCTGACTACTACTAGTATATTTTGGTAATGGTCTATTCTCTGACTACTACTAGTATATTTTGGTAATGGTCTATTCTCTGACTACTACTAGTATATTTTGGTAATGGTCTATTCTCTGACTACTACTAGTATATTTTGGTAATGGTCTATTCTCTGCAATAAATGTCTTAACAGATTTGGATTAACAGATTAAAGAAAAATACTGCTTGTGTATTTTGCACTGAATTTAGGGTATTTGGTGGTGGAAAGTTGTGTGTGCCATCTATCTCTGTGTTTTTCTAGTTTGATAGAAACTTTGACAAAGAAACTTGGCCACATAGTTGATCGCGTAATGGCAGTCTGGAAATATGCACACAAACACTTTGCACCATGTGACAAGAGAAATCAATATTCCATTTAAGCAACCGGATTCATTTTCCGGCAATTAACATACAAATTCTCTCTCTCTGAACCTCCCTCTGTGGCGAATCATCGCGATATGATTTTAACGATTCTGTTCTCTTTCATTTTGTAGCAATTCCTTTAGGGTGTTGCTCCTCGTCTTAGTGGAGAGGGGCTGTATTACTGAGACTATGTTATTTCCACTCTAAAACCCTGATGAAGGCTAAAGGCCGAAATGAAGAACAATGTTGATCAACTTCCATTGTCCTCAGAGTCACTGAATTTCCTCTTCACCTCACCACAACAGCCACTGACCGAACAGAAACCAATATTGCATTTCACTGCTACTGTAACACAGTGAACCAACCAATCACAGTGCACTCTTTCCCCCCCCCTGAGCTAGTTGAACAGACTGACAGCGGAGCTCCATGACAGATGGCTGTAATAGAACGCTAATGATGTGAGGTGTTGTGCTTGGTGCCGAGTCATAGTGGTTGAACCCTGGCTAGGACGGTACTCTCCTGATCCTTCCACAGTGACGAATGGAATCAGTTAGAGCTAGAGGTTAACTAGGGTCCTCCTGGGGTTGGTGATTTTACCGTGGGGTTGGAGATAGAAAAAGGGGTGTAGAAGATGACTAGATGGTGAATAAAGAAAGACATAAGAAGATAGCTACTGTCCCCTGGGTTTTGGTGTTTTTACCTTCTGGGGAAGAATAGGAGGAAGTTTTAACAGCAGGAAGGAGACTCATCCTCCCAGAGGTCAGAGATGTGACTCTAATGATGTACAATATGGCTTCATACAGAGACTTTCAGGAAAGCCTGGAATGAACATTCTGCTGCTGGGGTTGGTTGAAGTCTGTGTAAATAAAACATTTAATAAATATGCCATTTAGCAGACGCTTTAATCCAAAGCAATTTACAGTCATGCGTGCATCCATTAGTGATTAGTTAGCTGATGAGTTTTAGCTGTAGCTGTGTGTGGTTTGAGTTAAGTCTTTCTCTCTGTTCTTCCTCCATTTAGGAGCACATGATCCTCTGCCGCTTCGCAGACCAGACGGCGGTCCAGCTGCCTCCAGAACGACGCTTAATAGGTAACACACACACACACATTGTGAAATGACCACCTTTTAACACAAACAGATCCCTTACAAGTGGCCACTGTCATTTTTCCATAATGCTGAAAGCAAAGTCAAAGGGGGAATGATTATATCCAGTATATTGAATGGTCTAATCATAACCTCACTGATTGGTGGACGTTGATCATGAACCGTGCAAAGGCACCTGTAATCGCTGCAGGCACATCCACAATGCACCCCTCTCTTTCTCCATCAAACTGATACCCCTTCAGTACCTGGGTCAATATTTTAAAAGGGTCTCAGAGTAGGCTTGCTGATCTAGGATCAGGGCCCCCTGTCCATAGGATCTTATTAATCATGATTTTAAAGGCAAAACGTATCCTATACCAGCACATTCAATACTTGTGAATAATTAGTGAAGGTACTCCCTGTTGTGTTTTCACTTTGAACCGCCCTCGTACGTTCCATACCTGACACTTCCTGTCAGAGAAGATTCCACTAACGGGGCGCTGCCGCCGCCATGACAACCCTCAACCTCTCCTCAACTCACACTAACCGTCTTTGATCTTATTGCTTATTCCCTGAGCCTGTCAGATCTGAGCGTCGGTCCGTCTGAGACTCTTGAGTGCTGTAGAGATGCGTTCGTTGTCTGTCTGGGTCTGCTTCAGAGCCACTGATTAGCGTAATGCATTTACAGTGGGCTTTTGCCTTTAAAGCAAGCTTTGATAGGAGAGTGCCAGCGGAAGTGATCCCAAAGTGTTAATAGAAAGGAAGAGACCGTTCTAGGAAGTGTCTGCAGTAGAATGTTGAGAATGAGGGTCATATAAGGAAGATGAACAGATCCTGGAGGAACGTCTTCATCTCTTATTTCGCCTCAATACACTGATTTAAAGACTTCTACAGTACAGAAGAGGCCTAAGGGTGTTATCCACAAAGGATGCAGCACTCACTTTGTATATCCATATTAATATGAATGCAAATTCTAAGAATGATTAGAACAAAGCTAATTATACGGTGAGACAGGGGAACATTCTATCAGTTGTATTTATTTAGGTTATGCAATTCACCTCTTAGCTGCCAGTGTGTGGAATATAAATAAACGTAATTATTGTTGTATCAGTGACATCATCACTGTGCTCTTTGACCCCTCTCCTCCAGGTAAACAGTGCATGGGCCTGGTGGATCTGGACCGCTCCTGGGCAGCAGAGACTCATGGGTACTCTGTCAGGGTGATGACCATGGAGCCAGACAGCTGCTCCCCCAAGAACAACATGCTGGTGGGTGTTGCTGGAGGCGGGGCTGGAGGAGGGGCTGGAGGTGACAACTACGCCACACAGTAAACCAGGGGCATGTTCAGTTGGCACCCAAAGGAAGGTCGAAAAACAAAAGGGACTACCTGGACTTGTACAATAAGAAGAAAGATTTCCGTTTGTTGTTGCAAAATGTTTTGCTACGGTTTGCCCTAATGAACAAGACCCAGGGTTGTGTTCAGTCGGGAGAAAACGTATTGAAACCAAGTGAATCAGGGAGGGAGGGACTTGTCCAAAAAGAAGAACATAGAGTAGGACCCAACATACAGTCAGTGCCAAACTGAGAATACAGTACTGTAAGGGGGAAAAAAAGCATCAGTCGCTGGACCAAGATACTAAGTCAAATCAATAATTTCGGAGGAGTTGAGGGATTTGTCTTGAGATCAGAGAAGAATGAATCACCCTGGTTGAATTGATGATGATGATATTTGACCTACAATCAAGAGAAAGCCCTTTACACCCTTCTCCCTAATGATGATCTGAGGCAGGTGTCCAAGTGTTTAGTTCTCTTGGAATTATTTTATTGGAATTGGAACTGAGCAATGTTTTTATTTTATCCTAAAATTAGTTTTAATGAGCGAGGCAATTATGTGGATATTGAATTAATACACACACTGGAACTTGAGTATATTCCAAAAGTCTTGGAAAATGTTTATTTGTCTTTTTTTTTTAACCATTTACTTTGCTCTATTATTTAGCCATATCAGGGCTGGCTGCGATGTGAAAAAGTGTCTTAACTCTTAAAACCTACAATTTCTTCTATTTTTGGCCAAAGTTGTGTGGCGGCCATTCTTGTCTGCTCAAACAGGATTCACATTAAGTAAAATTAATGTTCCTACCCCAAACGGGAAAATAAATGGATCATGTTTCCACATGCTGTTTTTTGCTAATCGTATGAATAGCGATTATGTAATAGCGCTCAGCGGTCTCCTGTCTCTCCTCTCCTAACCCATAATCAGTAATCAGGTATTACAAGAAGAAAAACAAAAGAAAACCTGCTCAAAAAAATCTATCTGCCCTGCTTAGTTTTTAAATGATTCATTCTAATCTGGAGGCGGTCCATGTGAGACATTCAATGCTTTTCTATTTCTATTCTAGTGTTTATATAAAGGTTCCGAATTTTATCAAACCAAATTTTATCAAAGCAAGCGGAACTCTCAAATGGGGCTCATGCAGCATTTACCATGATTCCTCAAGGATTGTTTTGCCTTGTGCTGAGTGCCAGTGAAAAAAGGCCGTATTTTGCATATCCTAATACATCGATAGCATCTATGAATATTTTATGAAGGCTTGGCTGTTGGAAAGGTCAGTGTGCTCGATGGAGTACACTGTGTTGCTTCTAGAAACTAGTAGAGGGAGAGACCACAAAATACACACTACCTCAAAAACCATTATTTGTAATGATATATTATATATACACTCCCTAAAGCTGTTTAGTCTCGCAGTTGGTAGTTTATATGTGATGTCCATGCCAGAGGAGGCTGGTGGGAGGAGCTGTAGAAGGACGGGCTCATTGTAATGACTGGAATGGAATGAATGGAACGGAGTCAAACGTGGTTTCCAGATGTTTGAAAACGGTCAATTTATTCCATTCCAGCCATTACAATGAGTCCGTCTTCCTATAGCTCATCCCACCATCCTCCTCTGGTCCTTGCACCTCATTCGTTGCTACCTGGGCCGAGGCCTTATCACCATGGCGATACATTACAGAATTCCTTGGAAGGGCTTGAGATGAGAACATGGAAGGACTAGAATGGAATCTCACCCAGCCTCATTGTTCCACTAAGGGTTCTGACACTTCCAAGGCTTCCAATCTTCAGCTCATCTGAATTCCGCAAGCAGAGCCAATCTATCCCGGGGTGAATGGCTAGAGACACTGCTCTCATCCAGGGGGATGGGATTATTTCAAAGGGAAACGGCTCCTTCCCCTAACTGCTTCCCGACCTTCAGCGCCTGCAGCTCTGCCCAAGTGTGCATGACAGAAATGCATATAGGCAGCAAGAGAGAGTAGGGGGGAATGGCCCAGCTAAGCGTGCATTAGGGAGGGATATTGAAGTGCCGAGCAGGTAGAGGCAACCGGCCATACACTACTACGCTCATAGGGGAATGGGGAGTGTTGGCTGATGGCTGTGTGTACGTGCGTGTGTTTGCTCAGAGAGAGTGGTTTGGCTGGTGTGTGTGTGTGTGTGTGTGTGTGTATAAAGGTAACAGCGAAGCCTGAGCTTATTTCGCAGTTAATGAGCCTGCAGGGTGGATTTTGTTCCCGTTTCCAATCTATTTGTTTGTGGCCCTCTCTCTGCTTGGTGCAGGAGGGATGTAGATTTATCATCATATATCAATGTGTTCTAATACAGCAGAGGTCCTGCCACCCAGGGGTTCGTTCAGGATCATCAAAGTCCTGTAGGCGTTTAAAAACATTCCACACCGTTCACCATAACTGACAAGGTTGAGTAATTGGTTGCGAAAACGCTCTGTTTAGATTAGAAGTTAGAACTAAACTGTGTTGTAGCTGTTTGTTTTATTAACCACTGATTATTTTAATTAAAATGATTCACCCCGCATGGAAGCCGTTAGTTTCGATTTATAAACGTTCCCCTATTTCATTGCACCCTACATTGTTTATGTTAGAGAGGGCAACAGTTTATGGCTCCGTATTTGGTCTGTTGATATGAATTCCCCCCTATGACAAATACCAGGTCTTTATTTACGATGTCCTTGATTATATTATTTGGCCCTGCTGGGCTGGCAGGCGTATAGAGACCGCAGAAGAGACAGGCACTGATATACAAGCTCCCCTTAAAATGGGCATGAAAGTAGTTACAATCCAACCTTGACCATTTCATACAGCTGCAGTTATTTTTAGAGGCTTTTATCTTAGAGGATGAAACTCAAAAGTAACAAGTCCATATATTTTATTCTATGGAATGGAGGCCAGCACCAGTAATTAACCTATCTATGTGGGAGTGTTGATTTTTTTTTAATACAATCAAAAACATTCTGCAATTTTAGTGATTGCTTAATTAAAAGGAACCAACTGGGTTTAATGTAACCAGACTACACCGTACTAGTTTTTTTGTGGAGTTTATTCAAGGAGGCCTAGTGCCTCAATTTCTTCCTGTATGCTCGAGCAAGGCAGAATATTCATGACCAACTCAGGGACAGGGTCAGTAGAGGGTGAATTCTACCATGTATCAAAAATAGCTACAAATAAGTTCTGAGGTAGTCTTGGAGACCGTGATATGTGTTAGTGATCTCATGCTGAATGTAGCTGCACCCTTTCTACTATCAGTACGAGGTTATTTTCTCGTTGTAACATTGAATTTATTGATATGCCTTCTGAAAAACAGATGCTACTAGTACTACTAGTACTACTACTGCATCACAACTCAGAAGACGAGACAACTCTTCAATGAGAAACCGACGGATGAGTGTTCTCTCAAAGAACGGCAGCAGAACTGATTTAAAAGCCAAACCACTCCCTCAACTGAACAGCGAAATGCAGAGGGAAGCACACTTTGCGGACATATAAAAATAACTTGTCACAAGTGAATGTGGGAGAGAGTGGAGGACTGGTAATCATTGTGGAGATAGCAAGCAGAGTGCATCATGTCTATATATTGCATACACCTGTCAAAACCTCTCAGAGCTCCAAAAGATATGGTCTATACCCCTGAAACTACACTCTGGACCTCCAAGCCTGTTCCACTGCATTTTTTCATTGTTCCCCTCTAATCAGGGACTGATTTAGACCTGGGACACCAGGTGGGTGCAATTAATTATCAGTTAGAACAGAAAACCAGCAGGCTCCGGACATTGTTGGAGAGAGTTGAGTTCCCCTGGTCTAGACTCTAGTGGTTGTTTTGAAATTGGGCCATAATATCCATTAATTGGATCCTATGGTTGAACCATCCACACAGACTCTCTGGGTTTGAATGACATGAACAGCCAGACACATTCAACCATTTGTTTTGGTTACATGTTCAACAATGTTTCAGTGAATAACAGATCAAGGTATTACAACAGCTGACGGTACTTTCTATCTGGGTCATAATCAAGAGATGTTCTGTAATTATATTGTAGCACACGGCAGGGCATGGAAGCGAACCCAAGTCACTGGCGTGAAAGGGAGTCACCCTACGCTTGTGCCAATAGGTTTAACCCACTTTGTGGGAATTGTAACGTGTCTCATAAAGTGAAGATTACAATGCCCCCCTCCAAATGGGAAGGCACGTCCCTTGCTTCGAAATACTCAGCCACCTCACACATCCGGGCCGTGTGTTCTGATGGCCTCACGGCCGCCATTCCCACTTCTGACACCAATGTCCCAAATGGTGGGGCAGGGAAGCCAATAAGGTTAACCCACTTGGTGGGAATGGTAACATGGCTCATATAGCGAGGATCACTACAATATTGATATTGGACGTCGGGGAAGGGAACCTGAGTCGCTGGTGTGAAAGGCAAACACCCTACGCATTGCACCAATAGGGATAATCAACTTTGTGGGAATTGTAATGTGGCTCATTTAGCAAGGATCACGACAATATTGATAATGGACCAAATGATGGGCTATGTCAAATAGAATTGCTTGGTAAAACATGTTCCCCTCAGAACTATTCTCTAAATAATTAAATAACTTAAAACAGCTGCCTAGGCTATAATTAAACTAACAAGCAACCATGATGATATGAAAAACAGTGGAGAAACATCTGTGACTACAAATTACGTAGTGGGATGCATAGACTTCGTTTAAACAGGCAGCCCAATTCTGATCTTTTGCCCAATTATTGTCAAAAGCTCTAATCTAGATACAAAAATGTACCATGGTACAACAATTGTACTTTCATTAATACCATGGTATAGATCTGAATCATGGAAATGTACCATGGTTTTATCCTTGAAGTATGATGGTACCGACATGGTATTGCATCATTCATACAATGGCTCATGGAAAATACCATGGATTTAAC